AATTGTGACGCTTAATATTTACAGTACCACATACTTATTCGCATTTGTTGGAGCCGAATAAACCTCTAGAAAACTTGGACTTGGCTTTTGAGGTTGCGCATCACTCAACGTTGGCCTGGATATTCAATTGGATTTAACACTACTTATGTTTCTGGACGAGACCACACGTCGATTAGATCAGGGTAGGGCAGTGGAGGTATGTTACTTAGACTTCAACAAGGGTTTTGACTTGGTGAGTCTTACGTTGCTTGAAAGGAAACTACCAACGTTTGGAATAGTCGGGTCGGCTTGGCAGTGGTTGAAGTATTTTCTCAACAACCCTAACTTCACTGTACAGGTTGGCAGCTACACATCGCGATCAAAGAGGGTTACAAGAGGGGTGCCCCAAAGCTCTATTCTTGGGCCCCTTCTTTTCATCAAGGATCTCACGCTAGAATGGCACAACCCCTGCTTCATCTTTGCGGACGATTTGAAGATAGCGAGTGAGAACTTAACCCATGGCCTAGATGCAGTTCTCATCTGGTCGGCTTGATGGGATTTACCCTTGAATCTTGCCAAGTTTCATCTACTGACTACTAATGTAGGCTCAACCGGGAACGCAGCGCTACGAGGCATGACGGAGGTCAAGGACCTAATTGTCACAAAGGACTTCCGGCCTACTAGGCAATGCCAGGTGGCTGCTAATAAATCAAGAGAAGTACTTTTCAGACTACGAACCACAGTCACATGCAGGAAGCTAGAAGTGTTCGTTCCGCTGTACAAGGCAATGTTGCGTCCACTGCTGGAATACTGCGTGCAAGCTTCGTAAAGATATGGAGTGTTTAGAGAGGATACAATGAACGGCAACCAGAATGATCACTGGACAGATAATAAAGAGCTACTCGCAGCGTCTGAAGGTCCTGAATCTCTTCTCGCTGTCACGCCGCAGGATTTAATAGAAGCCTTCAAGATAGTGAAAGGGTTGTCAGGCATAGAACTAAGCAGCCTCTTCGTTCCTGCTCTAGAGTGCGGCACTAGAGGTCATAGCCTTAAGCTGCAAAGAGAGCACTCCAGGATGAAGTTGAGGGCCAGGTTCTTCACAAACCGGTTGGTGCCTTTATGAAATAGATTGCAGGAGAATGTCATAAGCTACTCAACAGTTATGACCTTTAAAAGAGCCTCGGATCTGTGCTGGGACGTGGTATTCCCGGAGCCAGCCACTTGAGAGGCGATAAAGAAACAAGATGAGTTCGTTCCTATACTTATGTGTTTCATTTTTACGTATCTGCACCTAAAATTTCTGCCTTTCAGAAAAAGCAGAACGGACGTTTGATGAGCAGTGTTAGAAGCCAAGGCAACTAGCTGACAACACAATGATTTGGACACAAGATTCGTTTCGACCACTTCCGTCCTGTGCAAACTGAACTGAACTGAACTCAGCTTTACAACCGATCCCTTGCCTCTGCAACGCTACCGGCCGGCTGGACCATGGCAGAAGTGGTGCATATCCACAAGGGTGGATCAAGGGCGGCTGCATGAAACTATCGTCCAGTAAGCCTGCTTTCAGTTGTCCCGAAATCCTTCGAGCGGCTCCTCAGGGAAAAGTTGGTGGGTTACTTGGACGACCAACACCTCATAGCGGGCCAATAACACGGCTCTGTCGACAGAAAGTGGTGTCTCACTGACCTCCTATCATTTCTGGACAAGGAAACAAACAGGTTGGACACAGGGGATTGAGATGAAGTGTGCTACCTCGATTTCAGGAAAGCCTTCGACTCGGTCAACCACAGATTCCTCCTGCGCAAACTGGAAGCCCTGCGGGTAGACCAGCAGTTAGTGAGGTGGATCAGAGCGTACCTACACGGTAGGACGTTCCGTGTACGGGTGGAACAGGAAAACTCGGGAACGGCAGCAGTCTGTAGTGGGGTACCTCAAGGATCGGCCCTTGGTCCTATACTATTTGTGCTGTATGTAAATGACGTCACTGAGGTCTTCCGGTACGCTGGGTTCCTATTCGCAGATGACCTAAAAGTAGTAGGGAATCCCTCATCGGGGAATTACAGGATGCACTCAAAGCAATTAATGACTGGACGGCCTCATGGGAACTACCCCTCAACCCCAGCAAATGCAGGCACCTGCTGCTGAACAGGGGGACAGCGGAGAGGCGACAACTAGGTGCTGGGTCGATGAACACCACGGAACCTGCAGATGTAGTCAGGGATCTAGGGGTACAGATAAACTCCTGCTTTAAGCCCTCAATGCAATGCACGGCAGCCGCAGTGATGGCCAATAGAGCCATATTTCAACTCTACAGAACGGTAATATCGAGGGAGGCTTCGGTAATGATGCCATTGTATAAGGCGTTTGTGCGGCCACATCTGGAGTNATCTGGAGTACTTGTCCAGGCGTGGACCCTCCCCTAGTAAGGGATAAACAACTGCTTGAGGCAGTAGAAAGAAGGTTCACCCGGATCATCAGTGGACTGTAGGGAAAGTACTACAAAGAAAGGCTGGCGGCCCTTAACTTATTCTCATTGCATCGCCGTCGCCTGAGAGGGACCTGATTGAGACGTTCAAACACCTCAAAGGACTGCTAGTAGCAGATAGGTCCTAGTTTACACAAAATCTCAACCCGTCCCTCAGAGGGCATGCTCTGAAGCTGATGAAGCCAGGGCACAGTTCTTCTCCCACCGCGTGGTAAACGCATGGAACAAACTTCCACCTACAGTTGTAGCGGCATCTAGTGTTCTGCAATTCAAGCGGAGACTAGAAAACTGCTGGGATGATGTGTTTCAGGGGGTGACTAGTAAAAGTTTCAATTACTACCCACATCCTCCTTTTGTAACCGTTGCCTATTTCTACAATCACTCCATTGCATCACGCACCTCACGCATTATTAACACAAAATTCTTTTTCTGTCATCAGCCCCTCGGAATCTCTCATGGCAGCAGTAGCAGTTCGCTGAGGTGCGGCACCTGTTAACTTATTGAGACTGCTTTTACCCCGAGGGCGATTCTGCTCTTTATCTCTTATATTGTAGGTACAACACCCATCACAACTGTGGAACTACCTGGAAGTCGCAGCTCGGTGGGAATCACCAGCTCACAAGTGCAAGAACCTGGACATCCGCTGGCCGAAGCCTAAAGTCCTGTGACCTGACCTGACCTAACTGAACCTATTAGTACCTATTAGTCCTGAGCACCATTGCCCAAGACGTGATACTGCACCTTACTTTCTGCCTTTCAGAAAAAACCTATTGATTCGCAGTGTTAGAAGCCACAAGAACAGCCAACAACACATCAATCTGAACGCAAGATTGGCCCGAACCACACATCGTCCTGTTCAAACTGAACTGAACTGAACCGATTAAGATGTAGATTAAGTACTCCAAAACTGAAGGAGGAGGTAGCTATGTGGGTAGAGGAAGCTTTTGGAATGACGATAAACGTCATTTCCAGGGAGAAAGGTGGGATAGCTTGGGAAGTAGACGAAGCCACGATCACATCTGTAACTCCCCCAAAAAACGGGGTAACGCCTCGGGCATTACCCCCGAGGATCCTTCGGAAATGAGCTCCCGACCCAGCAGGATTGCGCAAGC